TCGTATGTATGTCTTCTACTGAATAATACTATATTCCATAGTGAACTTGTTTTTATCTTTTTAGTTAGCTTTTATGCACCGAGGTTTTTTATTTTTATAATATATTTATTTATTTACAGCTTTTTAAGTATTTTTAAGTAGGAAAATTAGTGAGAATGGTTGTTAACCAACTTTAATTCATTATATATCCTAAACTGTTGTTAAAAATTAAAAATGATGAAATAAACCTAAAAATGATTTTTAAATACGTATTCAACGATACCCCACTTGATATAGTTCGTCGATTTTCATTTTTTTCTTTTTCACATTATAGAATCTAGCCGCCCCCATATTTTTTTTTTATGTCACCTATCTAAGAACACTTGGACTAATGAGACGAATCAAACAATACCTTAATTAAAGAAATCCATCGAGTGGTTTGGAAGATATGAGGGAATAACAAGTATTACAAACAAACAAACAAACATACAAAGATAAGCGTGAAACACTTTCCTTGCAGTCGGGAAAAACTAATAAAGCCTTTTTTCATTATAAGATTTTTTTTCTGAGTGTTGAAGATGTTATTTTGTCTTCATCATCAGAAATGCTTTGTTGTACCAAATTTTGATGTTATCATTGAAATTATATTGGCCAAATTTTATTTTAATTAGGTAAAGTAAATTAAATAAAAGCCTTGAAGAAAAAAAAATATTTTAATTAATTTTAAATATTAATGAAACACGCTAGAATATAAAAAAGATGAGCAGAAGTGTCTTCTAATATGAATTGCCTTCTAACTCCGTTTCCCACTTTATGGGACAAGAAAATATTCTTCAAACTTTCATATAAATTATTAAGGTCATGTTTATTTATAACAAAATGGCCACAAATCCAAGTTCATTGCACTCTTACAGCATTAGCTTGAGGTCCTTGAACCGACCTTTTTTGAGATTTTTTGCCACTCGTGAGCTTTTTATTTTAATCCGTTACCTGCCTTTAAGACCTTACTTGTTTTATTGCCAGTCTGCGAAAGCTCTGTTTTATGCATTAGCTTGCGGATGCCTTCAAACTTCGCTTGTGAACTGCAGAACTCTTCAAACACCGAGTTAAAATATCAATACAATCTGACAGGAGTGTCAAAAATATTCAATATATATTACAGAATTTACTCATTAATTTAGGCAGTGGTAGCCCAGTGGTAACGCGCTCGCTTGGGAAACCGAGTGAACCGAGTTCAAATCCCGGGTCTCGCACCTCTGTGCGATATTTTCATGTGCGAATCATTTCCAACATGATTACCACTTGTCTTACGGTGAAGGAAAACATCGTAAGGAAACCTGCATGTCTGAGAGATCCTAGCAAGTTTTCAAAAGACATGTGAAGTCCGCCAACCCGCACTTGGTCAGCGTGGTGGACTATGGCCTGATCCCCTTCGTACTGAATGAAGGGAGGCCCACGCCCAGCAGTGGGATGTTAAAAAAGGGCTGAATACACTCATTAATTTACCTGTATTTTTATAATTGGATTCATAATGTTTTATTGCTTCAGCCCAATTTTATCTACATTTGTTATTTAGAAAAAAAACTCTCTCAGACTCAGTGACTTACAGTTTGCACCACGCCCCAACCGTATGCGTGACAAGTCTCGAACTGCAGCTTTTAAAAAACTTTATTTATCGTCTCTAAGACTCTCTATTACTGTAATGAGTTCAAATTCAAACACAAAACACTACTAAATTACTGGTCTTTGTGTTTTTTAACTTCATAATAGAGTATATGGCATTGATGTTTTTAAAAAAGAACTACCTAATTTAAAAAAAATACATGAAAAGTGACATAATATTATATAGATATGTCCATTTTGGTATTAAAATAATATGTACACCTTAACGACGATACGTTTGGCTCAGTTTGTAGTGACCCTACTTGATGTGTCAGCGGTCGCGGTTCGAGTCCCGCTGGGGGCATTCATTTGTGTGATGAAGACGAATGTTTGTACTCCAATCATTGGTGTTTATATTTATAATATGTATGCATTTAAAGTTATATATGTGTAGTGTATCAACTATCTGGTATCCATAACACAAGCCTCGTAGCTTACCATGGAACTAGATGGTGCTGTGTATTGATGTTCCAATATTTATTTAAATATATTTATTTGTTCTTTACATATATTTTAACTTATCTACTTATTTTTTTTTATTTAAACAATAAGCTTAAAAATAATAGACAAGAGCGGTCGCTAAGCATAAAATATTCAAAATATATTTTCCATGCTTGATAGATTTTAAACACTCCAGGATTCTTGGAAGTTGGAAGGGGAAAAATATAGCTTTAAGTAATTCCACAATATCCTAATATGAGTATACCAAATATTTGTACTTCCACACCTATATTATAAATATGAAATTACTAGCATTGCCCGCGGCTTCGCCCGCGTCCAGATGACCAAAAACTCTTACATTCCGCTTAACCGATTTAGATGGAATTTGGTATGAAGATAGTTTGAGATCCTGCAAGGGATTTAGAATAGTTTTTATCCTAGAAATCATCCCTTAAGGGGGTGAAAAAAGGATGCAGTTTGTATGTTGTGTGGTGGGAATCAATTATTTCTCTAGTAAGGGATATAGAGATTGTCCTTTTTCGTAAAAAAATTCTTTCACGCTAAAGCGTGAATAAAAGTGCCGTTTTATTCTAATTAAAATACTGTGTTTCATTCAAGAAGCTACAAAAGTCGATTACCCCGCAAATTATGATAAGATACCGTATCTATCTTATCGTTTTAATTTCCGAAACCTGACTCTATCTCTATAAATAATACATAATACCTTGTCTGTTCGTGCATTTCTTTGAAATTGCATAAAACTAATTTTGGGGAAAATAATAATTGTTGACCTTTTGAAAGACATATTTGCTTGATTAATTTTTAATTTTGCTTGAAAAATATTTCTTTAATTTTTTTTTTTTAGAGAGCAACAGAGCGACGTATGGACACACAGTTTTTATGCCACAAAAATCATTTATAGGGCATAGAGTGCTAAAAGGTACTTTATGCTGATACATAAATCAAGATAGTTGTAGCTTCAAGGAAATTTTTTTGCTGGAAATACCAAATGACGCGACTTCAAACCCTGGTTCCATTTCAAACTTGATTACCACTCTTCCATGCCTTATGGTGAAGGACAATATCATAAAACATGTATGTCTGAGAGAATCTGACGAGTTTTCGAAAGACATATGAAGTCCACCCGCACTTGGACAGCGTGGTGGACTACGGCCTGATCTATCTCCCTCGCATTGAGGGTGGCCAACGCTCAGCAGTGGGCACCCTCGCATTGAGGGTGGCCAACGCCCAGCAGTGGGCACCCTCGCATTGAGGGTGGCCAACGCCCAGCAGTGGGCAAAGAAAACTGATGACATCAAATTCTTTTAATGGGATATATTCTCGTGTATTGCAAACAACTCTTCGCATACGCGTGTTTATAATTTATAACTCATTTAGTATTGTAGTAATTACATCAAAAAAATTAAAACTCCACAGTATGCAGATTTTAGAGAAAAGTAATTGCTACTACATGCTTGGTCTACTTTATGAATGAATTATTTATAGGTAGAAATATTAAATCTTATTGTGACTATATAACCTAACTGGCAGAACCCTCGGCTTCACTCGCGTTAAAACTTCCAAAAAAATCCTCTAAAAAAGTAGATTTCTTAAAAACTTTCATCCCCTATTTAACCCACTTTTAGGATGAATTTTGAATAATGCTAAAACACGTATTTATTTAATTGTATTGAAGAGTATTTACACTAAGTTTGAAGTAATTCAGATCATAAATATTTTTTGGGTTGTATTATAACGTGTTTTCCCATGGGAATGAGGTAATCTTTCGCGGTAAAAAGTAGCCTATGTCACTCTCCAGCTCTCCAAATATCTCCACAAAAAAAATCACTCCAATCCTTCACTCTGTTTCGACGTGAAAGAAAGTCAAACAAACAAACACACATATTTATTATTCTAGTATGGAAACGTGGATATGGAAGTGTGGGATTTATAATATTAGTATTGATATGGAAATATGTATGCTCATTTGCTCTATGGTATTTTAGTAGACATTTATGTTCCAGACATGGGTTAGGCTATTTTTTATTCCGGTACTTTCCGAAATTTCCGTATTGTTATATCATCAAGCTACTGAAGGTTAAGCAAAGCGATAACGTCAATAATAAATAAATATAAAAATCTATATACATGTAACATAAATAGGCAAAGACAAAACAGTTTTGTACGTTCTTCCTCTTTTTGTTAACCAGTTTTCTTTTTTTTTGTTTAGTAACTATTGACGAACTTTAGTGTAATTAATAAAAAAAAATTTGAAAGAAGTAAAATTTTTGTCTAAGGGAGGTGTTATTTTAAAAATTTGATGGCGCTATGACATGATATCAATTTTATATTACCATGATATATGCAGATAATAATTATAGATAATATCTATAAAAAATAAATTGTTGGTACATTCAATATTTAAAAAAAAATAGAGTAAATATGCCGTATTGGAAGTCAAATCTAGGGATTAGACCAGATATCTGTCTACCTACAATCATCGATCAATTGAATTACATAATTGTCTCTGAGTAAAATAACTGTGACATACGGACAGACCGACATGACGAAATTTTAAGGCTTCTTTCTTTGCCTTTTGGCTTTAGAATCTTTCTAATTGTATTGAAATTACTCTATTAAATTATAGCTTTATAATTTGGTGTTTAAAATATAGTCTAATTTCATTTTAATACTCTAAAAGCACAATTACATGGTGAAATCATAGGACGTTCCCAGACCTCAGCCATCAGGCGACGTCACAGGCACTAATTCATAGAATTTGAGAGCTTAATAGCTTAGAGAATGGCAACAAGCCTTATAAAATAAAATAATTATTTTTTCTTAATGGTTTTGGATGAAATTATCAGTTATTATGTAATTTATTAGACTTACCGTTCAGTTAGCTTCCGTAGCGCTCATAGATCTGTAAATAATAGAAATATAATATTATTAAAGAAAATGTTTTATGCTAAAACTCTATTTTTTATTCAATAATAAATCACATTAAGTAAAATATAATATTATTTTAAATTGCTGAAATGGGAATTATAGAGCCTCTAATATTAATTAAAAAAATAAGTCGAGAGTTTGTTACTTGATCAAGAGATTAATTTTTACATATTTTGTATTGTATATTTTTTTTTATATTATTAAAACTTTTTTCAGGTTCTCTCTCTATCTCTTTTTATCTTTGTAGAGACTTAATCTTGTGAGAATGTAAATAAGAAGAATGATGAAGATAAGAATGTGATGCTATGTGTTGTAATAAAGAATAAAAATCTAATAAGATCCAATCCTTAATCATTTATCAAAGACTATAGTGGATTCAAATAATCAGATAAATATGTTGGGATATTAACACACGGCACCATCTAGTGCCATGGTAAGCTACGAGGCTTGTGTTATGGATACCAGATAGTTGATACACTACACATATATAACTTTAAATGCATACATATTATAAATATATACACCCATGACTGGAGTACAAACATTCGTACTCATCACACAAATGAATGCTCCCAGCGGGATTCGAACCCGCGACCGCTGGCACAGCAAGTAGTGTCATTACAAACTGAGCCAAACGTGTAGTCAAAAGATAGATATATTTCTTACCTGTGTTATTACATTGTTATTAATATCATATACAATATGTTAAATTCATATTTGCTGACTTAAAATTAAAATATTATAAAGGTGCTCTTTGAGATTTACGTGAATATTTGAAATTCTTAAAAGAAAAAAATGCTGATTTTTTGAGTTGTGACGGAGGTTTCTAAGGACTTACATGTTATTTTAAGTTGTAAAGCATATGAAATGTAAGGAAACAAAAAGCAAAAAAAACTCAAAAATGTTTGTTTTTAAAATTAGGGATATTAATGAGATCCGTCCTTGACTATAATCTATACTATACCTAATAAAACAGTAGAGGTCGAATGTCTGTACATAGCAAAAAAATGCAACATAGACCACAAAACAAAAGTTATTAAAAATTTTCAAATTTTTTGTTTCTCTGTCTGTGTATCTGTTTGTACGAGTTAATCTCCGAAACTGTTGGACCGATTTAAATGAAATTTTGCATGGTGGTTACCTTATATCCATGATCAACAGCTTAGATACTTTTCATTTCGGAATATTAAAGAGTTCCCGTGGGATAGTTAAAAAAACTATAGTAACTTATACAGCTTAGTACGCAACAACTCATGCACTTAATTTAGTAAAATTTAACATTCTGATACCTTATATTGCCGGTCAAACAACTGGTTACTTTTCATCCCGGAAAAATGAACGGTTCCCGTGGGAACTAATAGATCTCTATTAGTGTTTTTCTATATTCTATTATATATATATATATATATATATATCTATTCTATATATAAATAAAAACCTAAATACCTTTGTAATATAATTAATCATACTATCTTAAATTAAAAATATGAAATAAAACTAACTACCTTTTAGAACGTTTTCACGGATATAAGAAAATTTTGTTAGTCAGGTACACTTTTTATGTTGCGAAATGTATTTACGCATACCACCTGTATACGTACAGATGGTTATGTGGGACTCACCGGCTAGAGAAATCAGTACTACCGACTTAAACCCAACGAAACCTCCCCCTTCTTAATGGAGCGTCGCAGGATCGCTTAAGCACTCAACCTCGACTGCAGGTATGCTGAAGCAGACCAAAACAGCCGTGGATTCACTTCAACGGTCCACTCTGCTATCAGAGAAGTACCAGGAGCGACCCGCAAAGCACACCATCCACCAGGGTAGGCTGCCTCCCAGTGCATTTCTTGGCTTCCCTGGACCCTAATTAATGAGCCCCCCACAACAAAGTGAACGTACTTGTGGCGGGGGAGGGAGAGGGGGGGGGGTTAGCAGTATCGAACCACTACTTAGTTCTAATTTAACCCACTTTAGCTCCAGAATCATTAATCATAAGAAACCAGGCAAAATCTTTTCCTGACATCCGTTCCTAACATTGATCAAACAAATACATAGAGCGGTTTATTGACTCTACATCGTTTCGTCTTTTTCTAACATTTAAAGGTCAAAATAGATACATACATATACATAAGACAAAAATAGACAAAAACACCCCGCCCTGTCCATAAAAATAAAAAAAAAACGAGGGCGACCGTCTCTTTCTAACATGTAGAGCTGTACCCCTCATCATCTATCCATTTAAAAGTTACAACGATTGGATACAATGTTTTTTATTTTTGTTTGAGGGCAACCCACAGGGCTGTCTGTGGAAATTGATAGAAAAATATTTGACATTCTTTACGTGGAAACCACTTCGAATGCAATTACGTTTGAAGTTATTGTTCGAGACTCGATAGATTATATTACATCTTTATTGATTTATAGGTCTAGATTAGTTACATATCTGCAGTTCATTTTATTTCTTGAACTCTCTTATATATTTATATATATATATATATCATTAAATAGAAATGGAACATGGAAATGTTGCGTGAAGCCGTAGACAGTTGTTAGCACTTAAAGTTGTTATGATATTATGACAAAATGTATCAAATTTTTTTTTACAATACCCGTTTGATTTCTGATTAAGACATTTTGTGTATTATTACACAAATGCTTGCTTGGATATTATTAAAAAGAGTATATTCCTTTGAATATACTTCATATAATATTTTTTATATCATAAAAATGAACAAAGAAATATGTCTGTAACAACTATATAATACCTTAGAGACATCTAACACCTCAGTCTCTCCCGTGACCATGATTGCTGTAAAGCATTCGAAACGTCGGGAACCAAAAATACAAATAAATCCGCGACAAAATCCGAAAAGATAGTTTTATTTAAAATATGAATGAGTTTTAAATTTTCATGTGCGAATCATTTCCAACATCATTACCTCTTGTCTTACGGTGAAGGAAAAAACATGCATGTCTGAGAGAATTTAGCAAGTGTTCGAAAGACATATTCAGTCTGACCGCACTTGGCCAGTGTGGTGGACTATGGCCTGATCCCCATATGAAGGGAGTCACGTGCCCAGCAATGGGACGTAAAAAGAGCTCAATACAATTTGATCTAAGATTTATTTCATTTGAATTAAGTAGAATATTTCCAAAGATTACAATATTCCAAGTGAGATGGCAGCCCTAGTGTTGCACTGGGGTCGACATTTGATTAATACTTGGTCCTTTTCGTTCAGTCTTACTCTATGTATCGTATAAAATTGGTGACTTTCTTTAGAGGACAGCAGTTTCCACACTAGCTTTCAAATTCGGATTCGCTTAAAATTAGTATTTAAATGTAGAATTTCTAAAAAATACTGAATATTGTGCAATTTCTATAAATATAAAAAAAATTACAAATTTAATTATTCAATTCACGTCATATATTATTATATTAGTCAAAAAATCAAAACCATAAATATATATTATTCAAATGGACTTTTTCAAGCAACTTTGGATCATCAATTTTACATTTTAAATTTAAATGAAATGTCATTGTAGTAAGTCCGTGAGGAATCTACCACCGGCTCTAGAAGCAGTTCTGCTGAGAAGAACCCGACAGAAACTCAATAGATGCTCTTTTTTAATTATATTATAATGAAAGTGTTGAAGAAAATGTAAAAACTAAGAAATATTTATATTTCATTTATTGATTTACATGTTTTATTTTTCTTTGTGTATAATATTTTTTTTATAAAATATATTTATATTTTATTTTTCGTGTAGGTATCATTTGTTTATTGTTTATATATAGCTCAAAATAAGATTATTGAATATTTTTTTTATAAAAATATCCTCAAATGTAAGTGACAGTGAGTTTTCCTCTTACTCTACTTACTTATATTTCTGTATATTTTATGAAATAATTACTTAAAATAATAAATTTTGAAATTATCAGAAGAACATTAATAAAATATTCAATTTAGGAATAGATTTTAAGCGATTTTTTTATGTTATTACAATTGGACCACTATTTTACACCAAATTTGGATGGAATTTACTACGTAAATAGACATGAGCTGGAATAACATATGGGCACGTAAGGACACGTCTGAGCGAAGCGAGGGTCGGTTGTTAGTATGACTTCTAGAGTAGAACGGCAATCATCGACGTTCTAGCCAGTATATACTCAATACTCATATTATTTGGCTAATTAGGGAGTCATGGGCGCCATACATTTACATATATGTGATGATGTTCTCCTAGCCGATTCCGGCTACGGCGACCAATCTCATTGAGATTAGCCAACTGCGCAGGAGATATTATAGTGCACAAGTGTACGCGCAGACACAACGTGCACTCTCTGTTCCTGTCACTCTCATACTCCGGTGGGACGACTACTCGACACGACCGGTGAGAGTTAAGGCGCAGGACCGACGGCTTTACGTGCTCTTCGAGGCACGGGAGTGAAACACCGCCAACTTCCCAACTCCGGGCTGTTACTGAGACTTACTATACAGAAAGACTCAATAACTAAACTTGGCCCGACGCGGGACTCGAACCCAGGACCTCCGGGTGTGCAGCCGTACATTCTAGCCACTACACCACCGAGGCAGTTACATATATGTAGAAAATATTCAAGTGCTTGTCAAATGGATTTTTTTTTATTTTACACTCAAATCAGTATCACATGTTATATATGTACATTGTACGTATATATTTAGATAGAATTGTATCTAATAAAAATCTATAAAAATAGTTTTTTTTAAATACAATGCATGATTTACACAATCATTCAATTAGTATTATGTTTAGTTATTCTGATATCTATATGGTAGTATGATCACTCTGTGACTAAACGCCTTTAAGATAAAGATATTTCCTAATACAAAGTGGACAATTCGCAATCAACAGTATCTCGATATTGATGGTTAGAATCGGTGTAAAAATAAACAAAATCTTGTTAAACCTTAATGTGTATTGTACTTGTAC